CTGGAATCAGAAATTAGATAGAATGGTGATAACTGGTAGAACTATATGATCAAATTCTAACACTGAGTGTTTCAGAATTGTGGAATTTTGATTTGCTTCCACAGAACTTCATAAAGGCTTCATGTTCAGAGATGTAAAAAGACAAAACAAAATAAAACAAACAAACAAAGAAAGAAACAAACAAACAAACAAAAAGAGGTGGAAGTGAGATATTGGGACTAAAAGAGATTGATGGTTTCATCACACTTTGCCCCAAGTGCCTACCCCCAGGTGGCAGATAGGTTTCTTCTCTGAAGAAACTAAAATGTTCAAGATGTCCATATGCTGGCCTTGAAGATTCCCCAGGTGATTTCTCTGGTCATCTTCTTGTCTGCCTACCACAAAGTAAAATTCATTGATTAAAACACTGTTCCTGAACACAGGGCTTTCAATCATTTTTTACACGTGTGTGCCTCATACTACTTTGAACAAGTAACTAAAGAGCAGGAAAGAAGCTGGATGTAGTAGTGCATGCCTATAATCCAGCCACTTGGGAGGATGAGGCAGGAGGATGGCAAGTTCGAGGCCAGCCTCAGCAACTTAGAGAGGCTCTAAGCAGCACAGGGAGACTCTGTCCACAAAAGAAAAAAAGAAGAAGAAAAAAAAAAAAAGAACTGGGGATGTAACTCAGTGGTAGAGCACCCTTGGGTTCAATTTCCAGTATTCACCCCTGTACACCCCTCAGAAAAAAGAGACAAGAGAATAAGCTTAAGAAAGAAGATTGGGATACAAAAAAACTAAAGAAGAATCATTAGTGCCATCGTCTAGAATGAAATTAATCAAAATTTCAGTAAGATGCCTGAGGAGTCTGGGAAGGAGTTATTTTTTTCCATATCTTGTAAAACATTCTATAGTATTTCTGATACAACGGAGCTTTTAGAAATGAAATGAGAATTAGCTGGTGCCGTGGCATACACATGTAATCTCAGCTACTCAGCAGCCTGAAGCAGACAGGAGAATTGCAAATTTAAGACCAGACTGGGCAACTCAGACTCTGTCTCAAAAAATAAAAAGTCATGTAGCTTAATAGTAAAGCACCCCTGGGTTCAATCACCTAGTCCCACAACAACAACAAAGGAGAATTATTATGGCAAAGATTCTGCAGAAGAAAAGAAAGAAAGAAACCCTAAGAAGAGCAAACATTTATCCAAGAAAAATTGTTATTAGGCTCCTCAGTGGACAACATTTATATGTTCATGTTATGCAAATATTGCTTATTAACTTAATAAAAATAATTATATAACCAGTGTTGTACTGATAAATGTTAATAGCTCTCAAAGTGCACATATTTACATACATACATTTATTATAAATTTTACTTCTGTGAAGGTATATAACCCACAATTTAGAGATAATAATAATAAAATACACAAAAATTTTTATTATAAATTCCATATAGTAATCAATTCTCACATAATACTTTTACTGATTTTTCCTGAATTCTTGAACTCCAAGACAAGCAAGAGCTGTAATTGACAAATGATAATACATCTGATGTGAATGTTAGTTGAATTTGCATTTACCTCAACAAATAATAAAAAGTGAAACAATGAAGACATGTGTCAAACCTTCATTCATTCACCAATGATGTGAACAAATTCTTTGTTGAAATGAATATTTTTTGAATAAGTGGAAAAATATTCCCTCACTTTTTATCTTATTCATAATTGAATGGGCACAGACATGACACACTTTCAAGTTTGATGTATCTAAATTATTAATATTTTTTCTATTTTTTTGATTTGAATGCCTTTACATCCACAGAACCATAAATCAAGCTCCGATTTGTGGTATTTGCTGATTTCTGTGATGAAATAGTACTCTTGTTGATATTGAGCTACCAATCTGATGTCACTGAACACAGAATTGGGAAGATATGAATGAGAATACCATACCGCATTTCTGCCATGCAGGTAGAATAAACTTAAAGAACCTCAGGAGCCTGGATAATAGTACAGTTCAGTAATATAATTAGGAAATGTAAATTTTGAATATCTATTGCCCTTCCTCTATACAGTCTATTGTGTTGTAAGTTTGTGCAAAATTTTATAATGACCATGTTTAACGACTGATAACTTGCAAAATTCCTGAAACCATTGACTCTTGCAATCTGGCAGGAGCTGACTCTATCCTAGAGTCTGGTAGAGCTCTGTCTGATAGGTTGGAGGAAACTAGGTTGGCAGTGATATGAAACAGATGAATCTTCATTTCTCATAGCATAATGTGAATATATAATGATTAAAGATGTTAAATGAAAAAAGTAACAGCTTTTCTAAAGATTTTTGTGTAATCACTAAATTACTTAATGATTATAGGGAGAAAAATGGGAAGCTGAGTAGTTGTAGGGAGCAGGACAGAGCTTAAATTTTAAAAAAGTTGTTTAATAATATATGAATTTTAAATTCTGTGAGATGGTTTTATTCCTCATATTTTCCTGTTTTATTCACTGCTCAGGTGTTTTGAGGAGTATGATCTAGTTCACCAAAGACTCTGCATGAAATCACTCTATGCATCTAAGTTTTTAAATAACCTTTTGGATATTAAAGAATTTAGTATTTTTTGATTGAAAGCATCACTTGGTATAAATGTAAGATGTTTCTACTTTGAGCATTTAGTTTGCTGCTGCCTTCTGGCGGTCACTGAACTCTTACAGTTTAAGCTATTGGTGGCTCACTAGGATTTTAATTAGGCAGATGAATCCCATATGTTTATGTGCACTGCTTTAATTTTTCTAGAATGTTTATTTGGGTAGTTATGGCACTTTAGCACCCTGTTTACCCAGGGGACACACAAACAGTCTGGTAATTTGTTATGTGATGTTATCGAAGGACACATACCATATCAAATATTCTAGTCCTACACTTTTAAAACCTAAGTGATAAATGAATGCTTTGCAAATTACATACATTCTTCTTCATCAGATCAGTTGCTCTTTTTCCTTTGTTTCATTCTCATTTCTATGATACTAATTTTTATTGATAACACCTCATTTTTGCCTTATTGCACTGGTTTCCTAGCTAATTTTTCCATCTTGCAACTATAGCATTCAACCCATCTTGAAAAGCAGTGTGCTAAACTCATTTTCCAAAATAGTGCTTTAATGTCTCTCCCCTACTCAAAAATCTTTAATGATTCCTCCTCCTTCTCCTCCTTCTGCTTTTCTCTCTCTTTTTTTTAATTTTTATTGTTGGTTGTTCAGAACATTACATAGTTCTTGACATATCATATTTCACACTTTGATTCAAGTGGGTTATGAACTCCCATTGTTACCCCGTATACAGATTGCAGAATCACATCGGTTACACATCCACTGATTTACATATTGCCATACTAGTGTCTGTTGATTCTGCTACCTTTCCTATCCTCTACTATCCCGCTCCCCTCCCCTCCCCTCCCCTCCCCTCCCCTCTTCTCTCTCTACCCCATCTACTGTAATTCATTTGTCCCCCTTGTTTTTTTTTCCCTTTCCCCTCACTTCCTCTTGTATGTAATTTTGTATAACCATGAGGGTCTTCTTCCATTTCCATACAATTTCCCTTCTCTCTCCCTTTCCCTCCCACCTCTCGTCCCTGTTTAATGTTAATCTTCTTCTCATGCTCTTCCTCCCTACTCTGTTCTTAGTTACTCTCCGTATATCGAAGAAGACATTTGGCATTTGTTTTTTAGGGATTGGCTAGCTTCACTTAGCATAATCTGCTCTAATGCCATCCCTTCTGCTTTTCTCTAAATTAAGTTCCGTAAGCTAGTAATCTCCAAAGTGAGGTGGGTAGACTCAGGGGCAAGCCTCTGGAATAGGAAGACTACAGCAGAACATTTTTTTAAATTTCTGCACTGTGTGTGTGTGTCTCTCTCTGTGTGTAAAATAACCATAAAGGAAAAGAAATTAAACTTTGCTAATGTTTCACACAGATTAATACAGGATCTATCTTTCAGCTTGTGTCAGATGATCATGTGTTACTTATGGTACCTGAAATACCTTGAAGTAATTGTTGGAGTTCCAAAGTACTGAGGGGTAGCAGTAGTACCCTCATTTGTTTCTGGTTAACTTCCAGCTTGTTGTGATGTTTTTCTATTTATGTTAATCTGCTTATGGATTTATTAATTATGTGTTTCCAGTATGGACATATAGTTTAAAAAATACATGAAAGAAATCAGATTGTGTTTATGTTCTTATTTCTGTAGCACTGAGGATTGAACCCAGGGCCTCACACATGTTAGATAAATATTCTACCTCTGATTTACATCCCTAACCTTAAGAAATTGGATTGAAAAGAATAGTAACTCAGGTATAAGAGAACGGCAATAAAATCAAGCTGTTACTTTTATTCATAGTACCAATGGCTTTTTTTTCTCTTGTTTGTTAGTGCTAGGGTTTGAACCCAGTACCTTTCATATACTAGGCAAGTACTGTATCACTGAGCTGCATCTCTAGTCCAGTATAAGTACTTTTTAAGCCACATTAGGTACTAAAAATAATGCAACTAATCTGGTCTGACAAGAATTTGTCCAAAAGGATTCAAAATTATTGAAATGACAATTTGAAATTGCAAATGCATTCTATTTAACAACTTTTACTTTAGATGTATATTATGTTTGATTCTTCAGTTAGTGATAGTATCAAGGCATTCAATTAACAATCACCTGAGAAAGACAGGTGGAGCATGAAAACTGAGCTGATTTTAGGGGTGGGTTTTCTTTAAGAGAAAAAAAATATACAAATTTGCAAATGCAAGATCAGATGAGCATTTATTTAAAATGAGAAAAGAAGTCACAACAGATTTTTTGAAAAGAAAAGATTCAGAAAAATAGCACAACAATTTTATAAGTCAATTGCTTTCATCCCTTAGAAATAATTTTTTCCTGTATTTTTTTAATTGTATCTTCTTTGATCACCTTTTCACATGATAATTACTTTGTAATATTTTCTAAAGATAGAAAGATAACTCATACTTCCTTTAGCATTGCTGATCAATACTTGTTTTTATTTAAAAAAATAATTTGCTATTAGTAATGTTATGCAAACTTGGGGAACCTCTATCACATTTATATATAAGCTATAAAGTTTTTGACATACATATTTTATCATGAATACTGACTTTAAATGCTTGTCGAACTAACAATACTAATTACAGCAAATTAAAGTTTTTAAAAATGGTTGACATTATAATCTTCATAATTGTATAATCAAATTAATAAATTACACATTTTGACTTGATAAATACATGTAGCTATTCTGTAATAGGAACATAGATTCTTTATATTATGTTGGTGGCAATTTGGTGTGTCATTTTATCTAGAACTACCCAATTTCATCAGGGTAAGATACTGAGAAATGCTAAAATGTCTGATAAACTGGGATACATAAAACATATGAGTTCACATGTAGATATGTTCACTGATCATAGTGTCATTAGAGATTTATGTCTTACAAACACAGGGATTATGATAAATTTTGTTTCATCTGGTTACAATTAAAAATGACTAAAATTTATGATTTATTAAAAATTGAATATGTTGATAGGAGAGAATTTCCAATCAGAACGAGATCCCGTGCTTATAATTTTATATATCTGATGACTACAAGAATTTTCCACAGACTATCTTCTATTCTATAATTTCAAACCTTGTTTCTCTTTCACTTCCTGCATACTATTGAATATATCCATATATGATATGACCTATGATTCTTCACCTTTTGTCACTACCACAGTTGAAACAGATCCCGAAGGATCCCATCTCTTCGGCTAGCCTGAATTATTCTCAACCCCTCATACAAGTGTTGGTATTCCTATGTTCATGTGTTTGTCCAAGTAAATCCTCCATCCTCTAGCTTAGAAGTACTCTCTTCTTCTGGTTTACGCAAATCTTATCTATTTTTAAGTACCTGCTCTTCCACCTGACTTGTTCAGGCTTCCAGGTCCTCTTATTTTGTTAAGTGAAAGCGTATTTTCAGTGTGTTCTTAGTTCTTTAAGGCATCTCTTATGTTGTGTTTGTTCTAATGCACACATATCCTATTTTTGCAGTTTAAAAACCCTTTCATTTTTGCATCCCGATATCACACTCAAGTCTATGCAAATATTAAATCCTCTGTGAATATGTGGGAAATCAAGACCTTTTTTGGAAAAATCAAATTGAGGGGAGATATCTTTGGAGTTCACAGAACCTTCTGTGGGAGAAGGGTGTGTGAAAGAAGTCACGATGACAGCCTTTTCTTCCCAGTGACACAGTGGAGGACATTTCTCTCCTGCATATGCTCTCCCATGTGGAGAATGTAATTTCTATGATGAATATCAAGGGAGTGGTGTACACTAGTTCTCAAACTGTGACACTAAATGGAAGGGATGACATTATGTAGAGTCACAATTGCAATTAGTATGTTCTCTTTCCCAAACTAGATAATTCTGTCTTCTCAACAGCTTACTTTTCTGTGTATTCATCATAAGATCATATTTGTTAGCAATGGCAGATGGGAGAGTGGGGATGTGTCTGTCCATCTCATGCTAATTTGGCATCTCTGTAGAGAGAAAACATTGATAAAAAATAAATCCTGTTTTCTTTTTAAGTATCATTCTGGTAGCTCTTTTTGATTTTGCCTTTTTATAAAGTGCACTTTTGCTATCCTTCCAAAGATGTTGGTTCTTTTTTAACAGCAGAGGTCCTCCTTGCTCAGCAGTCCTCCAGGATCAAGAAGCAACTCATCCTAAAAGCACGAGATAGTTGGGAACTGCGTGACTTAAACAGATGATTAAAAAGCCATTGTCTGTGCTGTAGCTGGGTTTATGATGTCTTTTCATCTCGACACCTGCCAACATCTCAAGTTCTAATTAGCTGCCAATCAGGGGGAAAAGCTCAGAATAAGCTGCATTGTGCCTGGAATTACTATGTGGAAGTATATGCAAATGACTTGGGTTAAAGATAAGAAAGAATCTGTACTTCAGAGAATGAAAAGCTATATTAATCTAGGATTATCAAACACTGTAATGGATTCCTGACCATGTCGTGATGTCAGACAGAATAATACTGTGATCCAGAGACAGTCCAGCTCTCCTGGGCACAGGTGAAACATGCTGTCTCTGATCTGGCTCATCCCATTGGAATAGCATCGAGTGGAAAGAACCAAAGCCTCTACAAATCTGAGCGTGGCTGGGGTCCTAAACCCATGCGATCAGGACGAGCTCTACCCTGTGCCACCCACCTTTTCCCATCTGTATCCATCTCCCATTGTGTTATCAGACGCTCCAGATGGAGCTTCCTGTGCACTTGTTAATTATTATTATTATTTTTATCTCTTCACCCATAATGTCTCTAAATCTTCTGGCACTGCAACTGTTGTCTTTGTTGGAAAGAGATGACAGCCTCCTGAATGGTGATGGTGGCATCTCTTTGTGAGCTCCCAGGAGCAATGTGGATACTATTTAAGTTTTTAAAAAAATAATAATTACGTCCTGACACTTAAAAAAAGTGAATTTCTTTGTAATCAGTTCTAGTGTTTAGGATTGCTTTGAAATTCAGTAGGGTTCTTCCTTTAAACAGGGAGAAAAGATACAGCTTGTTTCCCTTGTTTGGGATCCTTTGGGATGAAAAGCACTATAGAAATGTAAGCTATTATTAATCCACCCCTTCTCCAGACACATGTCGACAGGGGCTTTAAAATGCGTATCAGCTGACGGTGAGACTTGGCTCAAAGTAAGCTGCAAATTTTTTAAAAATTTGCCCAAAGTCTGTCTGTTTCTGTGGAAATAGAAATGGCATCCTGTGGCTGAAGCTCTTCTTGGTTTTAGTAGTTACCACAGATTCAGCTGGATGGGTGCTACCTCCTGGACAATACTTAAAAGCCTTTGGATGTAGAAGGATAGATAGATCTTTGCAGATTTCCTCCAAAGCCTATTCCATAATAGAACCTTAAAAACTGTGGTTTCATCTGCAACTCCATATGGACATTTTATAGTAAGAAGGGAAAATCATTGGGTCTTGCCCATGTACCTGTACCACTGTGTCCAGTTGAAATTTTCTGCATAGTACTTTTTCCAGTGTTATCAGTGCTGAGGTTGACTTAATCCAAGCAATCTGAAAATCATGGTCTCTGCTATTGGGATAAGTACCTGCATGTGTGCCCACTGTGTTGGCTACTGCATACCCCCAAACAGATAAATATATGGGGAATGTGGTGGGACCTAGCAAGCTCTGAACATCAAAGGAATAGAGGCTACATATTGCATTGCATACCAGTTAATGTACATAGATTTGGTGGATTTCTGTTTTTACTAAGGTAAGGTTTGTAAAAATCTGGACTTTAAAAAAAATTTTAGGTTATAGGTGGACACATGTCTTTATTTTACTTTATGTGGTGCTGAGGATATACTAGGTGAGTGCCTCACATATACTAGGTGAGCGCTCTACCCCTGAGTCACAACACCAGCCCAGGGTGTTTCATTACAATTTGGAAATGGGTGGTAGCATTAAGCCTGTTTAGTTTATGTTCCTGAACCCTTCAGGGAGATTTAGGAGCCTTAAGTTAGTAACATGGGAAGCATCAAGACATCTTCTTAAGGTCCCACTTCCACCCTAGTTCATAAATAGCTCTGTGAAGCCCAAGCTTTATCACAGGTTTATTATCTATTCTCCTCAAAACTCAGTGGCTCAAGCAATAATCATCTATTTGTTCATGATTCTTTAATTTGGCTGTGACTTACAAGAATAGTGTGAGTCTGTCCCATGTGGTGCCAACTTCCAAGATGGCTCAAGAACATGGCTGTCAAATTGATACTCAGTTGGGATAGTAAGCCAAGGGCACTTCTGCTGGCAGGATTCCTAGGTTCTTCTCCATGTGGCCTTTGCATGTGACCAGTTTGGGTTTCCTTCCCTGGTTCACAGAAGTCAGTTTTCCTACATTGTGGTTAACTCTAACTAGCGTGCAAAAGCAGAAACTGCCAGACCTTGCTTAGGCCTCCTCTTGAAACTAGGACAGCACCATTTCTGCCAGTTTACAGGGGCAGCTCAGATTCAAGGGGGAAGGGCTACAGAGGATGTGAGTAGCAGGAAATGTGATACATTGGGGGCTATATATACAGTAGTCTCCCAGTTTGGTTCCTTGGTTCTCATGGCTCTTTCTTCCCTGATATCTCACTTGGCACCCTATCATTCGAAATTTGAGGGACTTGCCTTCCTCTTTCTAGAACTCTCAGACTGAAATTCTTCTTTTCAAACTTTATCTTCTTGGTAGCTATCCCATGCCTTCTGGCACAACCATTGCTTTTCCCCATGAAGTTTTCTGGAGCCTTCCTACTAGACTTCCTGGCCCTTCACTATACTTTTGAGTCTCAAACAGAGGCCTGAATATGCCTACATACAGGGACATGGGCCAAGGAGTGGGGAATTGTGAGACATATATATGAATCATCTTCCCTGAAAGATGACTTTACTTGAAAATATAGACTTAAAAATTCTCTTTGCAATCATTATTTTTATATAAAACCTTTTATATATATGTAAGAGCTAATGTGAACATGCTATTGAATAAAACATGGAATTGTATTGAATGTTGTTTAGATGGAAAAAAGGGTTCCAGGACATATGAAGCTTATTGTGTTTGCTTCAAACTATACCCCAGACTCCTGGGGTATGAGTGTGTTCTTCCATGTCACTGTAGGTCTGTTCACTTTTTGTTACCAGAAATTCTCCTACTGGTCTTGCTTTTCCTGCCATGATCCAGGTCCAGATGGGGTTACATTATTACATGGGCCTTAACTGTGGCAAGTAAAGTGCTTGTTGCTTACTTCAACTTTCCTGTGAAGGGGTTTAGAACGCCATTTGGTGAAAGAGGAGGAAATGTACGTGACTTCTGTTTCCTCTTTCTGGGGTCAAAAACTTGTTCTAAACTTTGCTTCACTGAAACAAAACTCCGCTAGGTAGCTCTGTGACCTCTTTCACTGCTTGATGTCTTGCCTCTTAGTACCACGGATCGAAAGAGTATTGTTTGAATGGAAGCTACAGCACCTGTGGATCCCCTCTTCTGCTGCTGTCCTTAGTATGGCAGAAGTATTCTTGTGGTGCTGCAAGGAACTTTAGTAATTCCTCACTTCTGATTCCTTGGTCTTTTGTGTTGTCTCAGAGGCTGTGCTATCACATAGGCTGAGTTGGTTACTATGGGCCCCAAGTCCTTTCTCACCAACAGGGCAAGATGGTGCCTGGAGAGTTTGCTGGTGAATTTAAGCTGGGCCTCAGGAATCTAGCAAGCTTCATCTCTATTGAGTACAGTGGAGACTGGGGCCTTCAGCTGCATGGGCTAGGATGATGAAGCCTCCTTCTAAAGGGGAACAGTGTGGCAGTGGACCATGGTGAAGACTTGCTGGGAATTACAGTTGCTTGAGTCTATTGCTGAGCTCCAATAAGTCTTTAAATCACTACAAAGTAATAAGGTTGTTCTTTAATATGCCTCAAATCTTAGTATAATTAAGCCCATGATATATATTTATTCTCTAGTTTACTATTTCTTTTTTTGCTTGGTTGTTCTGCTCTCAAGCTTAAAGGCAAAGGACTACTTTAATAGAAAGTTTCATTCACAAAGCAATTTCATTAAATATGTCCTGATGAAAGTGGCTCCTGACACACAGACAAAATGCACTGGAGATTTCTTATTTTGTAGATATTGGGCCCTAATAGAAAAAAAAAACCTTGTTAGATATTTCATAGAATATTCCATGGATATATTTTCCAAATTCATTTTTATATTTAACAGTGTCATAGCAGGGCTCTAAAAGATAGACTTCAAGCATTATATTAATGTGCCCTTGGAATGACAAACTAGGTAGTTAAGATGATTAATGGAAGCTATGTTTATTCACCACTATGACTAAAATGAAGCCAGAGGGGTCAATAAATGAACTCTTTGTGAAGGCCAGTGTTATCACTCCTATTAAAATATTAACATTGTCCCCACTGATCAATTTTTTTTAATATATATTAATTTAGTTTTCAGGCTAAGTGCTTTCCTAAATCTTGTGAAGGCAAATAAGATAAAACACAGGTGACATAATAATGGTCTTGGTTAGTGTCAACTTTTTTGCAACACTGTAAGCAAGGACTATGGGAAAGGACGGTTCTTAGCAGGAAAAGAGGGCTGCAACCCAGGGCACACCAAGACTTTGCATCTTTCCAGCTTGAGAAATCACTGCATAATTAAATCTCATTCAATTCATATTATCTCTAAAGATCTGTACAGTCAGTGAGCAAAGTTCTCTTGAACAAGCTAATCTCAAGGTTCACAGATTATCCAAACATCATTTCTTTTCTGGACTGACTGTATCTTTCATTTTTGCCACAGTGATTCACATTTCCCCGTCAGTAAAACTGGATTTTCTATTTTGTAGGAGAGAAGGAGGCTGGTGAATTTGTTGGGGAACCAGAGCAGAGGATACAGTTAGGAATCAATGAGTCAATAATGGGTTCATCTTTCTTTAACTACCAGTCATCATTCAGTTGGGAGAGCAGTGGTGATTAATCTAAATCATAAATCTAAGCTGCCTTGTGTGTGTATCTCTGTTTTTTATTGAAGAGAAAAGAAAAACTGCTTGTTACCCACACCTGGCACTGGCACTTTATATCCATTAACGACACCTGCCTTGCCCCACCCTTGGTGCCTGAGGTTGGGTGACACTAGTTTTTCATACTAAAACCATAGTTAATATCTGTCAGGGAAACTTGCAATTCCTAGGATCCAAAATGCTCAGGTTGGAGAGGCTTCAACCCTATGGGCCTCTTAGTAGACCTTATAGGTGAGCTAAGTCCGTATGCCTTTGACCTTTCAGGATGCCCGAGCCTACTTCTGACCTTGGGTGTCTCCATGTCTGTAAATGAGGATTTTTTTTCCCCAAAGCCATACAGATCACTCTGGCCTTGAACATGCTGATTCTTTTTGGGATAATCAAATTTCTGCTTTTCTGAGTTTTCATTGTCTCCCTTTTCTTTGATTATCTAGTGAGGCTATTTTTAAATGGGTTGTTTGAGTACAACATAGCATCTAATGGCATTAAAAACATCACCTTGATTGACTGTGAAATTTATATCTCAGATTTGACTTCTCTGGGATCTCTATACTTCTAAATTTAATTGCTTTGGATTTCCAATTTAATTTGTCATAGGTATCACAAACACATTGTTTTGATTTTTTCCCTCCAAAGTCGTTCCCTGCCAAGGCCCCAGCATGCTCATATCAGCTTCATTAAGTTGCTCAGAACCCCAAACATAGGACTAATTTTTGATTTCTCTCTTTACTTTCTCATGACCATCTTATGGTTTATTTTCAAAATATGTATCAAATATGGATAATTTTCATCATCTCCATTCCTATTACTGTAGTTCAAGACACGTCTCCTCTGTACTACTGCAAAAGACTCCTAAACTCCCACTCTTGTCCTCCTTTAGTATAATTCCAAGACCAAAGTGATCATACTGCTTCCTTGCTCAGATCCCTCAAAGGACTCCCATTGCCAACACGACCATGTCTACAATGCAGTTATGATATTTTTTTCTTTTTCTGTTTTGGTACTGGAGATTGAAGCCAAGGGTGCTTTACCACTGAGCTACATCCTTAATAATTTTTATTTATTTTTATTTTGAGACAGAGTCTTGCTTAAGTTGCTGAGGGTCTCTCAGTTGCTGAGGCTAGCTTTGATCTTGGGCTTCTCCTCCCTCAGCCTCAGAGTTGCTGGGATTAGAGGAGTGTACCACAATGCCTGGCCCTTAAGATCTTTTAAAGCTCATTTTATACTACTTTACCTCGATCATGATTCTCAGTTATATGACCACAAACATTTCAAGACTTGTCCCATTTCAGAGATTGGGTTTTTGCTCTTTTCTTCTCTTAAGATGTCTTTCCCTTAGACAATTGCCTGGCTTGATCTCTCTCACTTAGAGTCATTTTCAGCTCCAGTATCTTCACCCCTTCAGAAGTATCTTCTTAATCACCATGCCATAATGTTACATAAATTTTAAAACTTTTTATATTTTGTGTTCCACAATGGGAATAAATTCCAAGAATTTATTCAGGAACCTGTTTACCTTGCTCATTAGTGTCCCCAGCAATAGAACAACCTGGAACATATATTGCTTACTAAGTACTTAGTGAACAAAATAATCCATTTGTATGTATACTGTTATACTGTACTGGGAACTCAACTAGAGAGAATTAAATGAATGATCAGCAAAGTTCTCAAGCTAGGGTTTGGAGACTAATAGGAGTGTAATAAAGAAGACAATACTGGTAGCTAAGGTAGCTACTTTCTAACTTTTCTCATCCTTAGCTAGGGCTGGGGATTTGGCTCAGTGGTAGAATGCTAGATTAATATGAGTGAAACCCTGGGTTCAATCCCGAGTACCACAAGGAAAAAATAAAATATAAAAGCTTAAACCATAAAGTAGCATTTATGGATAGTTTTTATTTTTTATTTATCTTTTTTGTCTATTGCATGGGCGAGGTGAATATAAAATTGCATAATACACAATCCCATACACGTGTATGCATGTGTGCCTCTGTGTGTGTGTGTGATATAATAGGGTTAGGTCTTAGTAAAAAAGGAGTAAAAAACTTCTATAAACTATAGGTACTCATTGTTTTACAACCAGACCCAATTCATAAAAATGCTGCAATATACTTTTCAGTAAGCAATATAAGCTGTAGGAAAGAACTCAGTAAGTTATTTGTGGGCCTCATGAGTAACTTCCTTCTTTTACTAAAACCAAACAACATTAAAACTAAACACTGTGCCTAAAAGGAATGGGGAGCAATCAAACTCAGAATCTGAGAAAGAGAACTGTAATGTAACTAGGACCTTGTAAAGGCCATTTCCAGGTACCTGTGGCATTAGAACTCAAGTCAGGAGGTTCTTGCTGCATCCTGTTTGGAGAAAATAATACCTCAGTGATGCCATCAATGTCAGTCATCCCCCAGGACACCACAGAGGCCATATCTTGTCATAAGGAATTCACCAACCTGAGTCTCAGCCCCTTTGTGGCACCTTCCTGTTGTTCTCCTTGGAGATGATATTTAGCAATTGGAAATATGGTAGCATGCACTCAGCTCTCTCCAATCATTCCAAAGGAGTATTTTATGTTTTCTGGAGAGAATTTTGGGGTTGAGGGCGGATGGATTGGGAATTTTGTGGATTCTGTTTTAAGAAGCCTTTCTCTTCCTCTCCTTTCATATTTTTCTTCTTTAATTTCTTTGTTCTTCTTGCTCCTCCTCTATGTGTTCTCCTTCTCTTCCCCTGTCTTTTCATGTTCTTTTTTTTGTTCTCCTCACCTCTGTCTGCCTTTCCTAACTCTCCCCAGAGGTGGTGGTTAATGACAGTCACTGAGTAAGAAGCAGCCAGAGAGATGGATGCCAAGGTCAATGCTGGGGAACCAAACCACTTATCACAGTGATGCTTTTCCTTCCTTTTTCCTTGTTCTTCTCCCCTGGATGGACCAAGGTCGTGGGCTTTTCTGCCACTGTGCTATGATGGAGTGGAGTCAGAGAAAGAGGAAATAGGAAACAAATGGGGCTTGACTTAATCACATCAGGAGTTCAGTTGTTGGAATACCAAGTTAATTTATGGTATCATGGCATGGAAAATTATATTTCAGGATGCAGAATTAAATCAAGTCATATCTCATGGTTTTTCAGATACAGTCTTCTGAGGAGGGGACTAAAAGAGACATTGCAACCCTCTGTCTGCCCCATAGCCAGAAAAATAGTTGTTTTCCAAATTTCCAAGGCCTGGTTTGTTTTGGCTGAACTCCATGTGCCTGGTAATGGACTGGTCTGGCCTGGTTGTCCTAAGGGAGGATCAAGTACTTCCCACAGCAGTGACTCTAGAGGGAACGGAGCTGGTCTCAAATAAACCTCTGAGCTTGCCAATAAGAAACTCAGTTCTTTCTTCCATGCCCCTCCTTGCCAGTGGTACAGTAGTGCAAGCAGGTGACTAGATTCAGAAGCTTATTTCCTGATGCTGGGAGGCGACTAGCGGAATCACAGAACCTTAAAAAGGAAAAGGATTTTAGGGGTCATCAGCACTACCACTGACTGGTGTTCTTCCTTGTTCTCAGCTTTGCCCTCTACTAAACAGCGGCAGGGATGTGTGAGGTAGCACATGAGTATCTATAATTTCAGAAGCAGCTCTGAGGACTGGAAAACTCTTCTTCCTATTGCATCAGCATCTCTCTTTGTTGTAGGGTTTTTCCCATTGGTCACTCTTGGGGCTCTTTTAGGACCCCATGAAACAAATCTTAGATCTAAGAAAGAAAGCTGGGTTTCCAAACCCTCTAAAGGAATTAATTCCTTGAGGAGCTCAGGAGAAATAGCCTCAGATCCTTGAAGCTGATGTGAAAGAAAGTGGGTAAAGCAAAATGTGTCATGAAATCAGTGAATTTTATCAGAAGGCTTATTTCTCTTTATTGAATGTTCTTATTGATTCTTTAGAAGATGGCATGAAGCCACTCTTTGTTATTATTATTATCTGAAAACCAAGGGTCTAAAATAGATTCAATATTAAGAAAAAATTATAAGGAAAGCCCTTAAATTAAACAAGAAGTATTGGAAAAATGATAGTCTTCCTGAACTCCTTTCTGATGTGATTTTAGAGCATTGGTTCACAGAGGTCATAGAAATCATCTCTTCTAGCAGGAACAGGAGGTCATACATTTTGTATGTTAAAAGCGCTAAGTGTTAGAGCATTAAAATCCTTCATCAACTGGATCTAGCTAGAGAGGAGTCCTCTAAAATCCTATCAGGTGTGAATAAAATTCTATAACTACTCTTGGGTATGAAGGAAAATTCTACTCAATTTCTCATCATTTATTTGTTCAACAAATGTTTGCTAAGCACTAATTGCATATTGGGCACTGTGTTCCATATGGATGGAAGTTGAAGGGAAGCCTCTTTTACTCTCTGAGGCTTAGCCTGGAACTGGTTTTGTCAATTCTGCTGATAGGTTTGGATGAGATTCACTATTCCCTAATGGCTTTTCTTTTTCTAGCGGTATGAAAATGCAGGTAGGGTCAGAGTTTTACTGGCCTACTTTCAATAATAGCATTATTTTTTGATTCATCAAATGAAACCCCCAAATCCAATTAGCCATCTGGCTTAACTCAATTGTTTATCGATTAAGTGTGAATTCCTATTTATATTAATATATGTACTTATAAATGCTTACCTATAGTATGTGTTCATAAACCATTTCAATGTCTCAATGCTCCTTGCATTTTATGGCTGAAAAAGAGAATTTATTGTTAACATTAGGTGTTGTTATGAAAATAAATGTTAAGCCCTGAGAATCCTTGGTGTGTAAGAGCAGTGAGTTTTTGTACACAGTGATGTTGCCTAGGGAAACACATATCTGGAAACAGAAGAACTGAACTTGAGTTTGGGGAGTAAGTAGGTAGCAACTAGGTTCTGGGGAGAACCAAGAGCCATCTGGTAATATGTGTGGGGAAATGGATGTCCTTCTCAAAAATGGAGATGGTCTGCGAGTCCTGTTCCTTTGGGACCTAAGGTTTAGGTTCAGCCAGAAATAGTGGTATGTAAACACCCTGATTCCCTCATGTGCAGGCAGAGAACTGAGCCAGTAAATACAAAGAGCCTTTTTTGGTCAGCAGAAGGCAAACGAAAACTCAGTTAACTGAGTTTCTTTCTTTCTTTATTTTTCTTTTTTTACCTAAATGGAAAGGTAAATTCAATTTGCAAAATGTTACAAAGGTCCTGCCATTCAGCGTGACAAGCAGAAAAGATGATTTAGAAAATGAAATCCTTTGCCTTATCCCATCAATGACATCTGACTAGCAAATTCTTCAAATAAGTACACAGAGATCAAAACGAGAGAGGCGTAGGTGAGAGTGCTTTGGGCCTTCTGACCCAAATTCTCCTTTGACAGCTTTGTCTTTCAGGTTGCTAAGTGCCTTGGGACCGCCCTCTGGCTGGCTTTGCCCTCCTATTCCTTTTCAGACATTCGCTTCAGTTTGCTTCTCTGTGTTTTTCTTCTATCTTTTCATAAGTCTGAAGAAATCTGGGGATGATGAGGAAGAATTATAGTGTGATAAGAAGTGTTGAGGGGGGATATTCTTCTGTTTGATAATTCATGCCTCAAATTGTTCTTGGTTGATTTTGTTTCATTCCTGATTGGAAGGAGTTGAAGATATCCTACATCGTCCAATACAGAAGCCAGTAGACACATGTGGCTGTTTATATTCAAACTTAAAGTAATTCAAATTTTGTTAAAATTTTAGTTCTTTAGTGCACATTATCCACATTTGAAATGTTTAATAGCCACATGGATGGTGAGTAGATAGAATACATCCAACATCACAGAGTCTTCTGTTGGACAGCACTGGTAGTCTAGGTCTACTGTAGTCTGGTTTACTGCTGATCTCTTCCATCTCCCAGTATATCCTCTGAAATAACTATTGGTCAATCCTGGCTCCTAGTGTTTTTGTATTTTAATGCCACTTCTATAATTCCTTCCTTCTCTTCCCTCAAACACACACCACATACACACACACGCACGCGCACACACACACACCAGGCACACATATAACAACAGGCACACACTTTGAGAATCAAGAAGAGCAAATAAATTCAGCCTGAATTGAGTTTGTTAGGGTCTACCTAGTTTGGTATGTGGGATAAAAATATTGCCTCCCTAACGCATTTAAATTGAATCTATGTAAAAATAAGGTTGCTTGAAAAAATTTGAGGATTCAAACAGAAATACACTCTTACCACATATGACTAACATTTTCTGGGTGTTTGACTTACCCATGCATTCCTAATAACAAACTTCTTACTCATTTTAACAATAAATGCACTCTCTATCAAGGGGCAAGTTGTGTGGTTACTAATCTCACTTTAGCTGTAGCTGGCAGCTAGATTGGTGCAGTCCTCCTGTCCTGCCAAGCTAATCCTCTTCTGGATGTCCAGGGTGATCTCTGATGAAATCTTTATGTATTCTCTCTGACAGCCTTTGTTATCTGTGCATTTATGACTTACCCTTTTTTTTAAATATCACCTTCTCTTTCCTCTGTTTATTCCTTTCCTCCTATTTTTTAGTCCTCTATTCCTACTCTGTGTGTTCTTATTTATATTTTTATGCTTAAGAAATATTTCTTTCAAAGAAGTTGAAAAACTTTAAAACTATGTATATAAGGGTATATATAATGTGTATATATACAGTTTAAGAAAATAATATAATATATGCACAATTTCCTATCAAGTGGCTAAAGATATGAACTAGATGTTTGCTGTTATGTTCTTGCCCTGCTGCATTCCCTACTCCCCAGGGATAACCATTATTCTAAGTTTTGTGTTAATATCTTCATATTTTCTTTTATTTTTAATACCTTTACTCCACACACATACACACACACTTGTAAATACTATAGCTTATAATTTTCCCTACTTCTTGAACTTTGTATATGCCATAATGTTGTATACATTTTTCTATTACTTGCTGTTTTTCCCCCTCTCAACATTACATTTGGGAAATTCTTCGGTGGTAGTGTGAGAGTTGGTTCTTTTACTCAGAATTAGGTTTTTGAGTAACATTCATATTAGTGTGTACATCTGTAGTTCATTATTGTTATGTATGTGCCAGAATCCATTGTATGAGAATGCCACAATATAGTTACCTATTTTATTCTTGATGGACATTTAGAGTCTTTCCATTATTTATTTTGCTGTTATAATGTAAGGTACTGTGGCAATCATATATTTCTTGCTGCACTTATGAATGACCTCTCTGATATATTTATCTAAGGGTAGACCTGCTTCACACTTTCTTTGAACTTTTTTCTATGCTCATTTCATTTTCTTCCTCCTCCTGATCTCATGTTCTATACTCAAAGCACTCTCCATTGACTCCTTCACTAAATAAAGAGGATAATTATTTTCTCCCCAGAACAGTGTCATTTTGGAGGAAAACAATGGGTTTTCTGGAAGTACTAGGAAGTGGTGAACAGACACATCTGGCTTTAAAACCCAGTTTCTCTATTTATAAAATGTGTGACCATGGGCTAGTTATTTGCCTCATTAAGTTTTAGTTCTTTCACCAGTAAAATAAAGGATAATGCTTTTTGTAGAAAATAAAGGACAATGCTTTTTGTAGAGAGTGGTGTCAGAATTAAACGAGATAACACAAGGAAAACCTTTAACCCCTGGATGGAAGAAAATAGGCAGTCAATGTGTCTTGGCTTTTTTTTTCTTCATCCATATTGGAAATAAAACCTTCCATTGTCTATACCATGCCTTTCAAGGAAAAGGCTAGAGTCCCCATCCGTTCCATTGATCATTAGTCAGTAAAGACACAGATGTGTTATCACAGCTACTCATTCACTCCCAGTGTCTCTCATTGGCTCTCTAGTTCCTGCTCTTGCTCTGACTAACAGTAGGCTGGAGGCATATAATAAGGATGGGCAGTATGCAATGTGGGAGCATCAGTGGACATCTGTGTAATCTAGTACAAATGAAAGGTGATGAGCAGCCAAGTGAATGAAACAATGGCGTACTCTTGGTTATCTATTCAGACCTACCACAACCCAGCACAAATACAGATTCAGAATAGGTATGACTCAGATATTTTTTTTGGGAAAGATAAACCCTATTGGGTCCATGTTAATCTCAAGTAAGGGGCTAGAAATGGCCAAAGTGAGGGATACTTGTGAGGGTCTGATTGGTTCAAGGACCTTTGCCTCTATGGATTTGATAATAACCTTTTTATATCCCTGGAAATGATCTTATGCCTGTAGTCTTCAAAGGCTTGATAGATATCTCTGGTTGGAGAAGTTGTGGTTTTGCACTGAGAAGCATGCCTGTAGGCATGCTGTGAGGAGGGAGTGGATGTTGGTTACAGGAATAGTGTAGAATCTTTCATTTGAAAGAAATATGAAAATTAGGACAAACAAAATGAGCTATGTGGCATACATTGCATAAGAAATCACTAGTCAAATTCATGATATGTTTTAGAAAAAGGAGGGGAGAAAATGCTTGTACAAGGAAAAGTATAGTTAGGAATTATTACAGGAGTACCTGGCCTGTCAGTGCACGATCAACAAAGAATTCTGGGTAAGTTAGTTAACAATTTGGGTTGACAGAATTGGGAAATCATTATGAAAATGTGTATTGGACTTGGCTAGAAGGAAAACAGGAAGAAAATAATAAATAATCTATTGACACTCCAATGTAAAGTAGAAACACTAGAATACATTAGTGGCAGTCAGGAAGATAAAGGTCATAATGGTATATAATAAAGAAAGAAACTGGGGAAAATGTAAATTTATGCTAATTAAAGAAAGTGGTTGTAAATAATTGATCATTTCTTAGTCATACATTTGTGAAGAAAAATTTGATGATCCAAATTATGAAAAAGATTAACATATAATATGAGCCTATTTTGTGTATCATTTTGAAAATGAAAAAAACCCCCTGAATTTCATCCATAAATCATTTCATTTGTTTAAATTGCCGATGGCTATAATAAAACCTAAAATTTCAAACTGTGGATTATAACTCCTGTAATGGATCAGGTAATCCATTTAGTGTACCATATGGGGTATTTGAAAATAGAGTAGCATAGAAATTATCAGAGTGTCTTTCATAAAATAAGGGGAATTACTGTTTTGTTACATTATTGTGTGTGTGTGTATGTGTGTACACAGTGGGTTTGTGTTTGTGTGTGTGTACACAGTGGGTTTCAAAAGTTCAAAGCCACCAACACAGATGACTTCTCATGTACCCTTGCAATGATTCTGTATGTTAAGCAATTTGAGTTCTGTAGATGGAAATAATTTTGTTGGGTTTCCCATAATTCTTCCATCTAGGAATATTATTCCTTCTGTGTTGCATAGAGTTTTAATTGAACATCTCCCTTTTAGATTGCAAAAAGTTGTTAAATTGTTAAAAACAAACCAAACAAAATAAAACAACAACAACAAAAACAAAGAAGAAACACCATGGATCTCCTTTTAAAGTTGTTCCAAAGCTGTGGAGCTTGTAGTTACGATTAAGGGAAGCTCCATGATATGCAAACATTTTTTCCATGCTTCTCCTCTTTTGTTTCATAGCATGAGTTCATCGAATGATCTGTTTAATTAGGGGGCACTCTAAGTGCATCAATTAGAATTAAATACCTGTATGTGTTTTTTTAAAGTCCATTTGGTCTTGCAGGTATTGGAAGCTTTTCTTTTCATTTTTTTGGTGATAAATGTATGCATAAACCTTGCACGTCATGATTCTTTATAGAGCAGTTAGTACAGAATTTACAAGAATACACATGATCTTTGCTGGCTTTTCGCACATTGATTTAATAAGCAGGAGCCCAGTCTACCCTTCCTTATTATGTTCTTTTGCTATTATCCATAAAAGCCCAGTTTTGGACTTGTGGGAATGATGAGAACTGTCTCAACAGGCCAACTCTGTAGCTTGTAATTCCATAGAGTGCTGCCAACGAATTGCTGTGATGGGAAGTGAGGTAGGTTTCCATATAGCCTATTCTCTGCATTGATTGGAGATTTTGGTAAACTTCATGAAGGTTTTTGACATCTGATCACTGTTTGATGAGATGAATGAGGTTGTTTTGATCTATAGCCCTAACAAAAACTTCATTACTGTGTGTGTGTTTTTTTCCCACTCTGTGCACAGTTAGGTGTACACCTCCTGTATACCTGACATGTTTTTGGTCTTTGTCCCATTCCATGGTCATGAATTTTACAAGTAAAAAATTTTAGGGATTTAATCACAATTGACTGATATTTATCATTGGTATAAAAACAGTAAAATTATACGTTGAGAGCTGCTAGCAATGACCAAAAAAGCACACACATTGTATTCTTAGGCAACTGATATTAAAAAAAAAAAAAAAACCTTATCAGAAGAGACATAACATCCTTGAACAATTTGAGGCTTAGAGTGAAGCCATCTTTGCTACTACTAATTTTCTTCTACGGATTTCTTGCATTTCACCAGCAGTAGTTTTGGGCCTCATTTTAGCAATGCTGAGATGACATTTCCTTTCTGCTCTAAACACTTAATGGTTTTAATTAATGGTATTTATTCAGCTCATGCTTAGCAGTTTTATTTTTTGCAAAGTGATTTATAATAATTTTTATTAGTTATTCTAAATTGAGATTTAGCATGTCATAAAGGAAATACTTTATGTTTAAGAAAGGAAGCTATTCCTACCCAGCATTTGTCAAAAGAGCATAATTATAACTGCTTTACTTATGGATTGTTTAATTCCTTAATCCATAGAATGTAAATATATTACTCCAACCTGCAATTATGAAAGGTCTGCAAAGCTGGAATTGTGAAGTTAAACTGATTTCTATAAGAATTCTTGAAATCAAGATGAGGATATGTCTATGGCTAAAACACTATTAGAGAAAAAAGAAGTTGGATTGATCATATAAATTATTAGACAGTAATGACAATCGACATTTAGTAGTGCATTTAATTAAGCCATACCATTTAGAAATCAAGAGTATCAGAATAATGGTATCATTTTTACTCCTGAAAACATATAATAAATATAATATGTATTAATATGTTTGTAACTAGACCAAGCTGGTAATTGGAAAATACCTTTGGCATGAAATGAAGCAAAATTCTCATGGGCATGTTCATTTTTGAATTAAATATTCTAGGTTTTGTATATCCGGATCTTTTGTATACCCAAAGGACAAAAATTTAGCATAAATAGTACATTATTGACTTTGCACTTATTACTTTTGTATACATTGTAGAATGTAATGCGCAAATGTAAAGATTGGAAATTAGAAAATTTGGAATGAAATGTGATATTCTAAAGACATTAACTCAGTACATGATTTTCAACTGATTTTTCATTATTGGAAGACAATCCAATCTTTAGATTATGTGTTCTTTAGTTTGCCTTTTGTCCTTGCTTTTTGGCTGTTACATTACGTGTGTAAGGATCTCCCCTAGAGAAGGCTTTGCCAAGGGAGAAGGGACAAAATGCTGACAGCTTCCCTGCTTACCCGTGTTTCTGAGGAAGGCAATGGCAGGAAGAGGGAAATAAAGCCAACTAAAAATGCCAGGGAAACTGCCACTCACTTTATTTAAAGCCATATTTTTCAGAATTTAAATGCAAATTTTAGGCTACCAAACAATGAAAAATGAATTTTATGAAAAATTTCTTTTCCTGGTTACTATGGTATTCATAAGAGAAAGAAACCATAAACAACCATCTAGGTTTATGGGAAAAGACCCAATTAAAAAATTAGAATGTCAGGCAAGCACATCCTGACTCAGTGTCTCTTTCTCCTCTCTCTCTCTCTCTCTCTTTTTTTTAAAGGAACATGTAATATAAACATGTAGCCACACAGCATCTGCATAGATATTAAATATGATAAAAAGATTTACGAATGTACAACTGTGACCTGAATGAAAGGGCATGTCTAAACACAATGAATCCAATTTTCTGCTTACACTGGCAAAGAAACCAACTACTGTGCCTAAAAAAACAGTTTAGTTTTATTAGCTAAATAAACAGACTAATCAACACCACTGATCCCCTGTTCCCACTTACTCAAAGCTTTTTGAAAAGCTGGGATGTTTCTCAAAGACAAGCTACGGATTTCTAATGCCAAAATGAGGTTTTAAATACTCCAAAATTCAAGTGATGGTTTCCATGGTGACTCCCCCCAGCCACTTACTTGGAATGGAAGAGTGCTTCCCCTTCAAACATCAGATCCCCAAGTCCCTTCAGTCCTGTAGCAAAGGGCTGAAAAAGGAATGGCTGACTTTGAGAAGGGTATTTGGTGTTGGCAAGCTCTTCTTATGTCAATACAGATTTCATTTCCTCATCAGACCAGTTTCTGGACGTTCTATTGGATCTCGTTCTTTCTTTGCCACCCATGATGTTTGTGTTCTGGTCAGGGCAGAGGGAGAGTATGTATAAAGTGTGGGTGGGCCAGCAAGGGGTGAATTAGCTTGTGTGTGCTTTTCAGATTCACCCAAAGGTGAATCTGATGTGAATTGGAGAAGAGAGTGCTGAAGTGGCAGGTTTCATTATTTTTTACCTGGGATACCTTAAAGGGCCAGTCTTTTTAATCTATGAAACACCTGGGTGGATTTCATGGTGTTTCATATGTAGTTTATCAAATATATGTGGTTTATTAATAAAAAGCAAAAAAGATTTTTTTAAAGTAGAAAAACATGGAGATAAAATGTGTGTGTGTGTATATATATATGTATGTACATGTATAACTTTATATAAATTTATATAATGAAAATGGAATCATGCCTGAACTTACCCCTCTGCAGCTTCCTGATTTTTCTTAATATTGCATTGTGAATAGCTGAAAGGATGGACCATATCATGTTTAACTGATTCCCAGGTGGTTTTCAATTTTCTTATTTTATAACTTTGAAGAATGATATGGAGTATATCTTTGTGTGATATTCTCTTTCTGTGACTTGGGGTCAACATTCTCCTGGGAAAATTCCCAGAAATACCTTTTAAAGTTTTTAAAAGGTTTACTTTTATTATTAGTCTTTTAAAAAAGGTTTACTTTTATTATTACTCTTTTCATTAACTATAAAGACACAATACTTTCTGTAGAGTCCTTTGTGTCTAAATGGTGATCAATAAGACTACGTGAAAATGTGGATACAGCTTTCCCAGGCATATGCTTTGATCTTTCTACAGAATTAGAATTCAGAAAAGAAGGATTTGGATGTCTGCAATATGGAATATGTTATAATAACTAATATTTATTGAATGTTTATATATCAGACTTTCTGAGCACTTTGCATCTACTTATTCACATACTTTATACAGCAAACTGATGAAGTGATACCTTATACTTCTGACTAATTGTGACTTAGGTCAAAACAACTAGTAAATGACTAAGGTCATACAACTAGTAAATGGAACCTGTCATGGTTCAAAACAATGTAATTTGAGTCTAATATGGACAGTTAATCACAACCCAATGTTTTTTTTCATGTTGACCATCTCTAGTTGTAAGAAATTAAACTCACTTGCTTTGGTTTTACCTTATACGTGCGTACTTGGGTAAACGATAACTCAACCTGTGTTCCCCAGAATCACAGGGGCATCCAATTGCAAATACCAATTTGTTTTCATTGCCATTTTTTTGAGGCTTGATAAAATTGTAATTCTTCTACTGTACACTGATTTGTTCTCATGTGGAGCATTTTATTTCTACATTTGATCTTAGCTAACAGGCTGAGAAGCAATTCTATTTTATTTCTCTAGCAATTCAATGAAACATGAAATGGTGGGGGAAAGGACAATAATGTCATAAATGAGGGAGGCATCATGAGACAGAAGGTAGAAGGATCAGGGCAAGGGTGGTAGCTGAGAAAAAAGAAGAGAACTATATAAAAAAGCAAAATCAAAAGCATCACAGATGGTGCATAAATCAAGAGTATTTATCAAAAATACCCACATTGGTGGTGTCTAGGAATACATATATTTGCCACTCTTGAAGTGTCAAAACCAACCAGTAAGCAAACCCTGATAATTTTGAAAGGGTGTTACACTAATTTTCCTACTGGCACCCACTCTTTTATATACTGGCTAGTTGATTAAAATGAGGATTTTTTTTAAAAAAATTATTTATTCTAAGTAGGTATATATGACAGCAGAATGCATTTTGGTACATTGTACACAAATGGAGCACAACTATCATTTCTCTGGTTGTACATGACATAGTGTCGCACCACATATGCAGTCACACACGTACCTAGGATAATGATGTCCATCTCATTCCACCATCTTTCCTGCCCTCATGACCTCCCCAACTTCCCCTTTGCCCAATCAAAGTTCCTCTATTCTTCTCATGCCCCCCTCATCCATTATGGGTTAACATCCACTTATCAGAGAGAACATTCAGCCTTTTGAGTTTTTGGAATTGGCTTACTTCACTTAGCATCATATTCTCCAACTCCATCCATTTACCTGAAAATGCCTCCTCGGTCTATACGCAAAGGACTTAAAATCAGCCACATCAATTTTTATAGCAGCTCAATTCACAAATAGCTAACCTGTGGAACCAACCTAGATGCCCTTCAATAGATGAATGGATAAAGAACTGTGGTATATATACACAATGGACTATTACTCAGCATTAAAAGAGAATAAAATGAGATTTTTGATGAACTCTGAAGGAGGATCTATATTTTGGAAAAGTAGAGTACCTTTGATGATAAATTTACCCTCCAGATCAATATTAGAGTCTTAAGAATGCACAAAATTGCAAAACTCACACATTTCTCCAATACTGATTAAGGCTCTGTGTTTGAGCAGGGATATGTCCATCAGGGGCCAGGAGGAGGGGAGACTTCTGGTATTTCCGTCTCAATTTTTTTTCCCTTATGAAGATGAAAAGGGAGTGAGCCAGGGGGTTCTGATATAGACATCAACCTGAGCTCTTCTCCACAAGCAAATATGCTTTTCACTGTGCATTAAATAAACAATTTGTGCCATTTCCCTAAAGGCAAGTACAGTATTATAGAGTGGGAAAAGTTGTCATGTGGCAATCTGATTATTTCATTAACTTACTCTACAAGAACATTTATTGCCCCACCCAAGCAGCATCATCCCATCCCATTGTTATGTTTTACTGAGGGGATGATGTCAGTGGCAGGGAATGTGGAGATAGGAAAGTCGTCTGCAGCTGCCCATTCCTTTACGTATAGAGGTGATGGCTCACCAGACTTCCTCAGGGCAGATTTCTAGCTTGTCTCCTTCAATGATGACTGTTGTTTAATCTTACCGTAGCTGGTGTATTGACTTTTTGTGTAATCGTTTAATATTGATCTTCCATAGGAACTCTTCAGTAAGCTTCATGAGGGCAAAGACTGTACCATGTCTTGTTAACTGGGGTTTATCCCCACTGCTGAGCATAGTGTTCAATACGTACTACATTCTATGAATTGTTGAATGAATGAATGCTGTAAAATAGGCTAGGAACATGGCAAGTGGTAAAAGAAAACTATAGGCTCTGAGTCCTGCACTCCGTGCTAGGATAAATTTGTTAAGACATTTTAAGATATGAAGAAAGACAAACCATGAGAGGGAATAATGGATACCCATGTGGGTTATAAACTCTGTTCTTGGAGTTTAAGAAAGGCATAAGAACGGAAATTAAAAAACAGATCTATTCCTCTTCTCTGTAATTCTGATCATTCTCCCACCCTGACTCTACTAATTGGGTATTGGGTTACAGTGAGATTTGCAATTTCCTAGGAAATAAGGAAATGAATTAATAATGAAAATTATTACAGTATTTATTTTCATGTCAAGCAATGTCCTTAATCAACATCACTGATGAGATAATAGTCTTGGCTTACACAGTTGAAGATAGAATATAGATAGAGGCATTCAATATTTTGGTGGACTGAGAGGTTATTTAACATTATTTTGGTACTGTAAATTGTGTCCTCATGAGGTTACTGAACTACACAGCAATACCCCACCTCTACAACCAGCACCAATATTGCTACCACTACCACCACAATAATAGAAGTTACCCAGAGAATAAATAGTAGAATCAAGCTTTGAACCTAGGATTGTCTGACTCGAAAGCTTATGCTCTTTCTTTTATATTCTTGTTATGAAGTGTAGTCTTCACAGGCAGGTCTTCCTATAAGGAATAGGATAGTTTTATCCATATTTGATACCACTACTGACAGTTAGGTATGTACACAATTTTTAATCAGACATTTCCCATATTTTAGTGGTCTCAGTTCATGGCTAAGCAGCAGAATACCAGAGTTCAAATTCTGTTGCTCTTGCCCTGATCTCTTAACTTTCTTTCCTTATCTTTTAAGTGGAGCCATAGTCACAAGAGTGAGGTGTGAATCACTAACAATGCAGAGGATAGGGGAAAGTGGACTCAGTGGGGTAGCTCAGAAGGAACTAAAGATTATCTCCATGAAAGGACATTTTATCTTTATGCTTGATTTTGCACCTAGATGAGTTCAAACTTGGAGAGGCTATGAAAAGGAAAAGTAATTCTTAATGGATACCGTATATGTTCAAGATTTGATCATGTAAAGTTAGGAAGATAAGACACTCAAGGACCCATCAAATACACATATTTGAAATTTCAGTTCCACTTATTTTTTACTGACTTTATTACTCATTTTGTTATATATACGATTTTTGATAATATTATTTTTCACTAAAATGATATTCCTAAAATACTATGGTCCTTTATAAGGAATAAATTAATATTTGGCAATAACTAAAAGACGAGAGAGCTAAAAATCAGAATCATACAAGTAGAAGGAAGATGATGTTTTAAAAAAATATTAAAATAATAGCAAAAGGTTTATTATATTGCCATTTCTTGGCCCATAGAGGAAAACTATTTTTAATTAGTTTATTTGTTCCTTTTGGTACTTAACTTCTGAATTGTATATCTATATGATATAGTTGTTAATTTATTTCTAGGTATTTCAGTTTAGTCATTATCTACTGACTTTCTAATATGGAATGGAAAGGAGATAACTTTTTAGAAAGTGATTGGTACATAATCTGGGAAAAAACCAAAAACTTTAGGCCAGGTAAATAACAGATGCATCACTTGGCCATAGGAGTACATTATATACTTCTCTGAGTGTATAAAGAGGAGGCCATTAAGTGCTTTTTAAAATAATATTTTCTATTATTTTTCTTCACTTTTACTTCATAATGAGCATGTTTAAGGTGTGGGCTTTTCTCTTGTCACTCCAGTTTTATTAGGGCTGTCCAATTAAGTGAACTGGGATTATCTGCTACACTGTGTGATAGGAGTGTCTTTGAGGAGTGTACTTCATATCAGCCATGGTTTAATTTAGATACATCAGTACAAGATAATAGACTGCTAAACATCCTGAACTAGTGTTTTTTACATCTCCCTCCCACTCCAAAATACCAGATACAGTCTTTTGAGCTGTTTCTTTCTTCGG